ATTAATTTTTCATCAACTTGATGATTTTTATAGGCCACAAAATATGTGGTCCGTCGATGTCTATGTCTCACTATAATCCTATTCTATTATCGTAACTATTAATTAGCGTATAAAGTTGTCTGAGGATCTTAGCAAATCTTTTTATTCAGATGGTTGTTCTACAAGTGGTCTAATCCACCACCGGCCTTATAAAAATTTTCTATCCATTTGGCGTTTACTATCCGTAAACTAAATTTTAAAGAGTTTCCTCTTATTAAAAAAACGTTTAGGGTGTGTTTGATCGCAAATATAAAATTTATATAGAAAGAAAATAAATTTTAAATAATTAAATTGTCAAGAAATTATATTGTATGAAAATTGTTAATTAAATGTGTTTGATTGATTTTATTTTCAACTTTAAATATATTATATTTGTCTATATTTTATTAGTAAGTAGATACGAGAGAGAGAGGGAGCAGATGAGAGAGAAATAGAGATTGAATTATTTGAAAAATAAAAACTTAATTCCTTTAAAGAAAATATTTTTTTTGTTTTCAAGAAAAAATATGATCATGTAGCTAAAAGTGGAAAAATATTTTTCATAGAAAAAAATATTAATCAAACTGCACTAAAGTATGATTTGGATGAAAAAAATAATATTTTCTATGAAAAATGTTGACAAACAAACGTACTCGTAGATAAAGTTACATTAATTAATTACATTCCTCTTAAAGTTATTCTAACTAAAAGAAACATTTTTATAAATTAGTCCCTGTTAGACCCCCATTTTTTTCAAAATTTTAATGTTTGGTATAATATTTGTTTTAAGAATGTGTAGTTGAAAAGCAGTGAAAATTTTTCAATTTACGTATAATATTATTTTATGCAATATTGTGTGGTTAAAAATAAGAGAAAAAATGAAAATGAATGAGGGTCAAATGGAGGCTTAACCAAACGAATTCAAAATCAACTTTTGGATCTTAAAAGCTAATTTTTGACATTTCATATGAGCCACTCGTTCCCATCAAGTTTTATTGACTAAATCACATACTACCTTCGTCCTATAAAGATAAACTTGATTTTTTATTTTTTATCCCAAATTGTTGGATACTTTTTTTTGTTAAAAGTATAGTTAATGTCTTAATTTTCTAATATATCTATATTTAATGTGCCTTATTATCAACAAATTTGAGCTATCATTATTCAATGTATGAATATATTTTAAAAAATGAAAGAAAATTTTGTGTTCCAACAAATTAAAGGTACATGGAATGTTGTATAGATGAACCACATATCTTAGTGTTCGAGTTTGGAATAAGAAGGAAAGAGTTGTCGGATTTACGCTAGCCTATCGTCTATATGATGTTGGAGCAGAAAAACAGAAACATTGTTCTCCATTTGTCGTGCCAGCTCTTGTTTAAATCAAATACAAGAAGGTACGTTCTCAATAGTTATCAGAGGTTGGTGAATATTGAGAGAGCTTTGACTGGAAGCACAGGAAAAGTACAAGAACAAAATATTCTTGGTGATCTATAAGAGATGGACAATTTTAAAAGATCGGGAGCAGGTGTAAGTAAAGCACGTTCCAGGAGGCCTTGGAAATTCCAGGAAGTAGATTAGTGAGTGTAGTGGGATTTCTAAGTTTGATCGTACTGTAAATTCATTATTATCTATAGTGGAGATTATTGGCTTAAGTCTCGGAGTTTTTACTAGTTGGATTCTCCATCAACACTTCTTGTGTTCTTTATTGTTTTTATTTATACCTATTGCCCCTGTACACCAATGTGACTCTCGTTTTCCGTCCATCCCATGCCCAAACACACTTATACAAGTTGACTGATCTAATCGTTGGACCACTCGTGACAACCTTTTCCACATTTCGATGAAGGTCATGTGCTTCTAACTATACATACAGATGTTAGTGGAATCGAAATATATTGTCCACGTCACTGGTCCAAAGTTTGAACTCAAGAGCAATATTCGATATTTTCTATTATAGCATAAGAAATATTTACAGAAGTACATGTTTGTATATGCCAATGATTTCAATAAGACAAAGGTGGCCTTTCAATATCTTTTTGAATGTTCAATTACATAATACTAAGATAGAATTTTAAGAATATTTTGTTTCTTTATTCGTTATTATATTGTATTTATTTCATTTGTTTATTTTTTCAAGAATTTTACATGAAATATTTATTTGATGTACCATTTTAACTCCGATTACATATTGTAGTACGTTCCAAGTCCTGAGAAATGATGATAGTCTCTTGCAAATTTTTTATGTTTTTGACGAAATATAATTTTTATGATTACCTATTGTTTATTATTAGATAATTATTTTGATTGAATATAATTTCTTTAAATCATTAATATACTTTGAAGAATGATAATGCAATCTTCAATTCCAAATTAATAAAGTAAAAATAAAAGTAATAAACAAATGAGTAGCGAGCAACTCGTGAGAAAGCTGAGTCCCACATTGGTGTAGTGATGTCTCGAAATTGTTGTTCCCTCAGCCGTCCTTCAAATATTTTCGACAACTCGAATTATCATCCATTCTTCGCAGATGGAAAGAAGTTAAAAAAATGTGCTTGCATCTTCTTATTTATTAAGAAAAAATGACCAATCAAACATCAAAAATATATTGAGTCCCTATTTGGTGGAAATTAATATTTAGATTTTAATCTATATTAAAATCAACAATTAATTTTAACCACATATTTCATCAGATTCACAACTTTTCAACTATACATTTCATCAACTTTTATAAAAATTTACTAAAAATTTGATTTTAATCCTCACCAAATAGGGGGTCGTGGTAACTTCTACGACAACATGAAACAACACTCAGTTTATTGAAAAATATATGATTAAAAATGAGTTTTGAAAAAAAAAAAGAAAAAAAAAGGGACTCAAATGATTATTTTTAACAGTAATTGGAATTGGTCAAAATTCTAGTGGAAGATAGTTCAAAGAGAAAAGTATTAAGGAAAAAGAAAAATGAAGACGAAAACGAAACACACCAATCCATTCATCGAACAATGTTTACGTAAACCTCGCCTAAACCGGATCGGACCCACCTTAAATTGGCTTCTTGATCACATTGAAAATCTTCAAGACATTATTCTTCCTCTCTTTCAAAGCCTACCCCACATTCCCCAATCCCTACCCACCTACCCTTTCCCGTCCCCAATCCACACATACCTCTATATATATAGCTATATATATGTATATTCACACAAAAGAAATCCCAATTTCTAGCATGAAATTTTAATTTTTGTGACAGAAAAACAAATGGGATTACAGAACCAGCTTTCCGACGTGTCATCGGAATCAATCCTAATATTGATGGTAGTTTTCATCGGAAAAAGCGCACGTTATCTCCACTCCGTTTTCTTGACTATCTTGCGCTTCTTCTCACCCCGGTTCGACTCGGATAATGCGGATGTCGACAACCCTTTTCACGAAGTCGTGGGATCCGGCCTGGCCGGTCTTGTCCTTCTGACTGAGCAATTAAATCTGAACCGGGAATTTTTTTATTCAAATAAGTCCTGTGACGGCGTTGATGGGGCCGGTTCAGATTGTGTAGTGTGCTTGAACCAGCTGGTTGGAGGTGACCTTGTGCGCAAGTTAGCTTGCCGCCACGTTTTCCATAAAGAGTGCTTCGACGGCTGGCTTCACAACCTCAACTTCAACTGCCCTCTGTGCCGGTCGCCAGTGGTGCCATTTGAGCGCGTGAAGACCACGCGGAGGCGCGTGGCTGGAGATGTGCTGGGGTGGTTCGCTTTCCACTGATAGATACAACATGATGATAAGAGGACGTGATCAGATTATGAACATATTATGAGGCCTTTCTATTTTATTTTCCCTTTAATTTTAATTTATTTACCTCAATTTTCTGGAGTTTTTTTACTCTTTTTGAAGAGTTTCAAATTCTCTTTTCACTATCTATTTTGAGAGTTTTCTTTTTTTAATAAATTTAATGGTGCTTTGGTTTGAGTCTTATTTTTCACCTAAACATTGCTCATATATGTAATTGGCCTCAATAGCAATATAAGTTTACATTATAATAAGAGCTTGTTTGATGTCATTTTTTCTTTCAAAAAATGTATTTTGGAAGATAATTTGTGGGAAAAATTATGAATTTGTGTGTAATATTCTCTTATTAAAGCATGTGTATTGAAAAGAAGAAAGAAAAAAAATATAATTTGAAAAAATGGAAATCAAATAAGTCCTGAATGTGATTTCCGTAGTGGTTAAGTTTGAAACATTGATTTTCCAAATTGAGAAATTCAAATTCGAGCAATCGTTAATCGACCTTGGTGAATATGACTCGACTTGAGTGTTGGTCATTATTAGACTACATTTTTTTTATATGTATTTATTTATGTTAATACATGTTTTATTAAATTAGTCAAATATATTTTGTCCACACATTTCGTAGAATTCACAATTTTTTACATTTCTTATAACAAATTTCATAATACCTATAATTTATAAACATTATTAAACAAACACTTACTCAATCAGTTTCAACAAATTTTGATCATTCGCATTTCATTTTGATTAGTGTTGCTACAAGTATATGTGGCATCATTGGCAATTCTTGTCGCTGACGGTCAAAAGTTTGTTTGCAATCCTTATTATCAATGGAATTGTGACATCGATATTTTATGAGGGCCAAAAGCCCCCTCAGTAGTTTGTCGACGATGGATTTTTTTTGTAGATAATCACTGATGTAATAATAACTGATAGTATCCATTGGAAATACCGATGGAACATTAAACTAGTGGTCAGCAACAAATTTTACCAACGGATAAGTTGGTTCTTTGTGATTTCAAAGACAGCTTCCTACAATTTTTCCTATGGAATAACTTGTTGAGGTTGGTTTAGTTTTCCATTTTCGGTTTCAAAAGAATTTTTAGTTTCTCCAAAAAATAGTGCGTTTTGGGCATTTTACGTGTTTTGGGAATTTATAACTGAAAACGTTTAAAATGATAAAAACTCGTTTTACGTTTTCAGTTTTCGAAAATACATTTTCGAAAATGACGGACCAAACGCGTTTTCCGCGTTTTTGAAAAACAAAAATGAAAAATGACTCGAAAACGCCAAGCCTTATTCTCCTAATTTCCGATGTTATTTTCTAACAGCTGTAAATTGGCTGCTAATTTGAATTATATTTATTAAAAATAATTGTCACTAATTTTTTTTTTTCAATTAAAAACGTAAAAAAATTCAAATGTACACGAAGTAATGAGCATTGCAAATAGATCGATTTCATTGATTAGTTTTACTTTTTGTGGTTCCACAAAATTACAAAGTTTGAAACTAATTTGCATTCTTCCCAAAAACTTTTTCAAATCACCAAATTCATTTAGCTTTACATTACATAAAATAAATACTCACTCCGTCCCAATCATATAGATTGAATTTTCTTTTTCTCTCAAAATATATAGGCCTATTTTCTAATTTAGAATATTTTATTTTATTCATTTTCCAATATATTCTTATTCAATTTTCCCTACTTAATATGAAAACTTCTTAAAATCATCGGAAACAACTCTCATTTCTTCTTCTTTGAATTAAATCATTCAAATTCTTTACTAATTCCAACAATAATTTACTACTACAAATTAAAAATTAAATAGAAGTAAATTAAAAAAGACTTGATGAATATTAAATTTTTAATAACATTAAAGAAGATTTCTTAAATTGTGTGAAAAATTAAACAAACATATATATTTGGGATTAAGGGAGTAATAAATAAATAAATGTACAACATGACGCAAAAAACAAAATATATGGTCAATTGATAGGCGGCCGACCATTGAAGATCATGTGACAATTGACTTCATTTTTTGGAAAAGTAATTCTTTTCATTGAACATCCTAATCATCTGTTCAAATTCCAAGAACTTCCTCTCTTCCTCACGTCTCCTCTCTTCTATTTATCGTTTGAACTCCATACGCTTTCTCGTTCCTCCTAGAGATGGCTACGGGTTGAGTTCGGGTTGGGGCGTGGATCCCTGCCCCATTTCGTCCAAATCACGCTTCACCTCACCTTAGACGGAACGGGGGAGGGTCGCGGGGTGGGGACGGAACAACTTTTTGCCCCGTTTTATTGTTTTTTATTTTTTACATTTTCAAAGTCTCGAGTTATATTATTTTTAAAGAATAAAATACAAATTCAAAATTGATTTTTCGTAGGGAATTTACTTAAACATGAACAGTGAAATTAAACAAACTTCAATTCCCATTCAAAATTCAACTTTGTATTTAAATAAGAATTGTGATAAGAAATATACATTTTCTTGATTTTGCAAACTCCTTCGCGTTATTCCTTTCCAACAACTTGAATTTACCTTCCACAGCTGTCCAATTGTCCAACCTTCAATGAAATCCACACAGAGAATATACTGCAACTGTTAGTGTTTTTCCTTTTATGCCAGCAAGAATAATGAAAACCCTATGAACCTCAAACCCTAACAATGTATTTATATAAATCCAAACGGGCTCGGCCCGGTCCGGTCCAATGTTTGATTAATTCATTTAATTAAACCCGGTCCTTGAATTAATTAATCCAATTAATTAATTCAGGAATATAAATAACAAATCCAATTAATTAATTTATCCAACGATTGTGAAATTAATCAATTGACAATTTGCAATCTTCCAATTCTCTTTTGTGTGTGATTCATTAGGTTCCCGACCACGATACCTAACGACGCGAAATATTATTTTGATCTAATCAAAACTGATAAATTAAACACCTTTTTAATTTATTACAAATTCACACTCGTCGTTCCAGATTGACATCTAACAATGTATCAGGGCAACACATGTGACGAAAAATGTCACGTGGTATGACAAAATCAAAACTGTTCGTTTACTATGAAATTATAATCTCTTCGTCAATATGATTCGATTAACTACGAGATATGGAAGTGTGTCAATCTCGATTATCGATCATATCTTTTATTCTACTATTAAGTCAATATGAGTCGAAAATTCCTTTTCGACTTATATGTATACTTTGACCAAGAATTTCGTTATTGACTTAATTGAACGAAATGCAGATCACAATCTCTTACGATCTAAGAGTGACGAATCCTCTATTAGTCATTCACAACCTTCATCTGGTTCTTGAGATACCCGAACGATGTCATATTAGCGGCCCTTGACAGAGCAACATCCAACACCGTCAAAGTATGACTGTTCTCATACAAGGCACTATGATGACCTCAAGTTATAGGACCAATTCCACTACCGAAGGTTAGAGATTAACTATTGACACTCAGATAGTTATCCATGTGGAATCTCTTAGCGGGTCTCCAATGTTTTGTTATATAACAAAACATCTACGTGTTCATTTAGGTGTCACCACACTTTAGCTCGTGAGATCATCTACTTACTTCACAACTAAGAAATGCCACACATGATGGTCTAACTGCATTAACGATATCCGTATCTCATTATTACTTACGATCACGGTTTATTCAAGATCCAATCATACGTAATTTGTATCTCACAATCACAACTCCTTGTGATTAACAAATCACTTAAACTTGGATCTTCAGATTCTATTATTTAATATTATTTATCACAAAATTAATTTAAATAAATAATAGATCTTACCAAAATTAAATGCATTAAAGATATTAAAAGCGTTTGATTGGATCTAGGGCATAACACTTACATTTTTAACGGGCAAATTGTTTAAAAAATAAAATTATTTTTAATTTTTTTCTTCACGGGGCTGATTCGCCCCGCCTTGCAAATCCGCTCGGGGTTGATTTTTTA